CGATTTGTACTTTGTCTGTCCGATTTTCTTTACCGTTTGAATCTGAGTTTAAAATCTGCAGTAAAGTGGCCTCAGCTAACCGTGACGGACAAGAAGAAATTTTCCTTTTGAGGAAAGGTTAACAAAGTTGTTTCGGAAAATTTGTCATGGTTCATACAGAAAATCAGTACTAGTCGTCACGGTTGAAATTGATGTCTTCCAGACTGTGTGCTTTAGTAGAGCATGAGACCTTCATTTACAATCACCACATCCCGTTCTTTCCATCCATTACTACTTGATATGTTCAAGCGAATTGGATTTATATGCAAGCATTTTACCGCAAAATATCAGTTAGTGAAGATTTACGAAAGACGCTCACGCCATATCGAAAGCAAATTTAAGTTAACCGAAACAAGATTATTTGGTTGGTAATTTATTTGCGTAAAGGAACATGTTCACTGTTGTTTGATTGTTTCTACCATAGATCAAAAGACATGTAAAAAATCGCTGGTAATTTTACCCCATTTGAGTTAAACTGTAATTTGATTCTGAGTCCTCACAGAAAAAGTGCACTCATGAACCGTTGGTGGTTGAACAGTGTAGGTCGAATACTCTTATCTTAATTACTTCGACCGTACATAGAAAGATGTAACACACGAAGTTGAACCGAAATTGGCGGTGCGCGTTTGACAATTGTAAACGTTCAATCATGTGACGAGTTCGTGCAAAAATTCATCCAAGGATTCTAAATAACTGAAAGGGACAGAGGACAAAGTACTACGAATTAGTGTGAGCTGTCTTGAATCACTACACATTAACTGAGCCGAATTCAGCTATAATCGGCCGAACTTGGTTTGTTCGTGGAAGCACGTGGCCTACTGCTTGCATCTTTGATGAATCACAATTATTCGTCTTCAGTTCTATTTTGATTTGATTTTAGTCTGTTTAAAAATCTATGTGGTGCAGATAATTATGTATAAATTGGTTATAAATCGCCTTAATGTGATCTGCGAGTTTCAGTGTTGTCATAATTCTGCATAACAACTAACTGGAGCTGAGAATCCATCCATTACGATGAATAAAGCGATTTTTGACTCGACGTTTGAATTCAGGTACACGCTTAGCAAACACTGGTCATGCCAATAGCCAACGGAACCATAGATTTTAGTATGAGCCCTACTCTAACATAAATTTATTTGTAAAAGTCTATTTTCGGTTGGAAAAATGTAAAAATGCAGCGAACTTTGGCCGTACACACAGATCACGGAAGTCTTTCAGTTAGAATAATGTCGCATGAATTTTCCATCCCTTATAGCTACGGTGCTTATACTGAACCATTGACTGAACCTGTGCGGGTGGTCCCTCCGACAGGTTGTCGGAAGTGTCATTCGAAATTTCCGGTCTTCAGGACGAGATATACGGTGCTGTGGTCAGTGAAGATAGATAGTTAAAGGATTGGGGAGATGATTGGTCTTCTGTGCTAGTTGAAACATCCAGACCAATTCTTAACATAGCTAACTCATTCTCTTGCCATTTATGTCTTTTCCCTCCAAGACTTTCTGTCTTAGTAGCAATTATTTATTTTGAAGAATTTAACTTTTGGGCTAGAGTTTTGCAACAAAAATCGTTTTAACGTTCAGGGATCATGCTTTGAGACTGCTTTTCACATCTTTTCAGATTCTCTTCACTTCCTTTTTGCTAAATATACATTAGTAAACATAGCTCTTTGGGAACAGAGAACCAGCCAGTTCAAGAGCAGTCACTCGGTACAGAGACGATGGAAATGTTAAGGTGCTGTGGTGGCGCAATAATTGATAAACCTATCCGCCTGAACACCACCACTTTATTCCTAGCATACGAAATGTTTTCAGATTAACGCTGTTCGGCACGCTAAAACTATAGATAAATTGAAGTCATGCTTCATTCATAAAGAATTTTTATTGAATCTGAAAACTTTGAGACTGAAAAGAGGGCAGTATCTATTTCAAGAAAAATCTGTGCACTTTGAACGAGCTGAGCGGAAATAAGAATAGAAAGAAACTTCCATGCAGTTATAGCTAAAGGCATTCTATGGAACTAATTTATGGTCCTCTCTGAGCATTATATATCAGCTTTATTTGCGGATAAGCGTTCGCGGGCTCAAGTAAAGTAGCCGGCTCCAAAGAATTCGGACAGAATATAAACATATAGTTCAGCTAAACGGTACTTTCCCCAATTGAAAATTTGATGAGTTGCATAACTTTATCATTATAGTTCTACCCACTCTTGTATGTATTAAGTATGGCAAACACTGTGGTGCCTTCCCCGTAGAACTTCACGGGATAAGATAAGGCTGTGTATAGTTCTCTCAACTTTTATTTTGTAATCTTACATAGCAGCTACATTCTCTGGTATTTGATTTCTTCATTTCCTCCTTTGTTGTTTTTTCTGGCAAACAGCACCAACTGATGAAACTTTATTTCAGTTCACCTATTTAGTTATGTAGCTCAAGTTGAATCCAACAAATTTTATGCTTCATGGCGTCAATACAGTCAGCGTTAGACAATCGATCGCAGAATCTTTATGCACCTCGATGGATAGCTAAATGATTTTTTTCACTTCGCGCTACTCACTGCCTACCGAATTTCTCCCAAAACGCTGGCTAAAGAACATGTTGGCGGCAAGCAATGGCCTGAAACAGGGAGATCAAACAGGTGGCAAAGCGGAGTGTGTATGCGTTTGCGTTCATCCATTCCATTTACAGCTAAATGCACACATGCACAACGATTACAGTCCGTCGCCCGTTTCATTTTGGAATGAAGGCGATATTCAGCCTGATGAGTGCAGGTGCGCGTCTCACAGCTGCACGCATGCATGTACGTGTGCAAACCGTCGGTTAGCACGTGTCTCGACCAGGCTTTGAAATCTCTTTTCCCACCTCCCACTATTACTTCGATGTGATTTGCACTATAAAGTTGACGTGGTAACCGTTGGAAAAAAGCACAGACTTCCACACTAATAACCGAAACACGGCGGAAGTATTATCAACTACTCTACAGCTATCAACTCAACTACTTTCTCTTGAGTAATAGTGGTAGAAACCCAAACGATCCCTTTTGGTGGCATTTGAAGAGTGAAAACAAGTCATCTTGTATAACCCATTAAAATTCATAAGGTTACCAGATAAGTGACTTTTTAAACAGTTGGAAGACTAATTCCTTTAACAATAAAACGTTTGTCAAGAATCTCAAAATACTGATGTAAGTAACCAGTATTTATATAAGTTGTAATTATGAAAACACAGCGGTCGGTACAGGTGAAAATAAGTCGACGTTTCAGATACCGTGGGTAACAGTAATCAGTATTTTGAAATTATGGACAAATATTTTATTATTTAAGGAATTAATCTTCCAACTGTTTAAAAAAATCACAGATGACTGGATAGTTAATACGCATCTTGTTTTCCGACTGACTACAGTAATATTGAATTTATTGTTGATGGATTAACTGGTAAAATTGGATAAAATTGTGAGCAAGGAACTGGTCACCTTGAGGTCTAGTTGGTCTAAAGTTTTTGCAAGTGAAAGACTTGCGATCAGCCTGAGAAGACCAAATGCATCATCCATTGACGAACTGTTGCTAATTTGTATTGTTGCTCCGAATTATCTGGCTCATTTTTGCCCTGAATTATGAGAATTTACTATCTCTGATCCATGAATAAAATTTTGAGTTTGTTTTAGGGATCTGTTTGTGTTTGGTGTTTTTATCAGATGCCTCTTCCTAGCGTGTGATGCTCACTGCCTAATGAACTTACATTGTAACATGCACGATCATTTTCTGATATAGTCTCTTTTAAATGAAGCATATTACTATTGGTCAGTATGAAGAAGCAAAATATGGCATCCAAGCTGATCTCCAGTGCTTCATGTACCCATGCATTACATCATGAGATAGAAAATCTGACTGAAAAGAACAAGCTTGACTGGTATCGAATGTGGGACGTCAATATTCAAATACAAATTGGTGGAAATTGTGATTGAGTGAAATTTCCAGCATCACCCCTTACACTTCGAACGAATTTCAGTGTGAAAAATTTGTGCATTTCGATTTTGGTTAAACTGAGCTTAATACTCAATCATCCGAATGCAGGAGAGTTTTCTAAATTAGGGGCATGTCCGTCTCAAAGGGTAAAATTTGTTTGTCGGTTTTTAAGTTTTCATCGCCAGTACTAGTTTGTTGGATACAATCAGACATTTCAAAATTTATAAATTGTAATTTTGCAATTGGATGCTGTTTTGAAACCACCATGGATTATTTCCTTTTAAAACATCTGCATCTCCATGAGATTTGCGTGTGCTGTCTGGTGTTTTGTCTGTTTCGTCGTACAATGGTATAATAAACGCATACTGTTTCTAATTTTTCAAAGAATGAAAAATTCTCCACTTCTCAATGAATCACGCGATTCTGTCATGATACTATTCATTTCTTCTTCCTTTAATTGATGTTTGTTCACTTTTTCACGTTGCTATGTTAACTATGTGCATTCTATTATGATCGTTTCTCGACCTAGCCCACCCCATCCTCACTCTAAACCCTTTTCTCTGTCCCCACGGAAGGACTGGAGACATGCTTTTCCCCAACCCCATGTGCACTGTGAGGAAGGGGGAGAAGGGGCGCTTAGAGCCGAACATCTGACGTCCAATCATGTTACAGCAATCCTTTCTGTGCGCTCTTCGGGAGATGGTTGACATTATTTGTTTGGTCCAAGCTGTGTGCACATTCAGGCAGACAAAAGCTGTTATGACCTCCTGACCTCTTGCCATTCAGGTTGGTTTGTTCATCACATGTTCATTCCTTGTCTATCCCCTTTCAGATCTACCCTCACTCCACTTCTGCGGGTCTGGCCAATTGAATAAGAAGAAAGACGATCCGTCAAATCCACAGACTATAGTCCTCCTCCACGATCACAGTACACAAAAATAAACGTGTGCTAAGGAACGTAAGGAGCTTTGCGGCTCGTGGGGATTTTCACCTACCGCAGTATGGAGGTGTCAAAAACCGAATCAGTCTACCCTACAGTATCCGAATTGGCCACCCTTGAAGCTCGTCAGATGAAATCAGCCCTGTACAGTCCAGATGGTCATGGCCCACCAAACACTTGTAAACTTGTGAAACAAGACACTGATTCCATTATTCATCGGCCTGCACCATACACAAACTCCTCACATCATCGCCCTCAAACCTCACCGAACACATATGACTCTGCGTTGCGAGTCAGTCATCAATCCCAACAGCAAGTACCCCATCCATCCCCGCATCATCCACAATCACAAAATCCTTCGCACAAACCCTCGATTAACGACCCCATGTCCCACTCAGCACTTGTTTCTAACGGGAATAGAACACAATCGACTGGAAACACAGTCGTTGCTACAGGTGGAAACAGCAATGGCGCTGGTGGTAATGGAAATGCTTGTTCTACATTCAGTCTCACCTCATCCCGAGCAGGTAAACGTCCAGCACCAAGCACACCAACTCATTTATCAGAAAGCCAACTGGGTGAAGATATGAGTAATTCCGGCTCGGAGGGTGAAGGACAAGATAATTCGAGTGTGACCGATGCTGAAGGTGTGTGGTCAATGGATATTGAGCAATG